CAATTAAATGATGAAGTTTTCTAAAAGTGGTGTAACTGCAGTAAAGTTAAAAAAATAATGTGAAATGATTAACTTTTTAAAATAAACTATATTAAAGGTACTTTAGAGGAAGACGTATATGAACATTGAGCATTTATGTAAAGTGACATCAATGAGGATAAGCCCTAATTGATATTAAAGACCACTTCATTATACAATGATAGACCGAGTTTAATCAAAATCGTTAGAGCCGTTTTTGAGAAAATTATAAAAATAGATAATTTATGACTTTTTTTTAAACGGCAAATTAGTTTAAACAATGACAAACTCTACTTTCTTTTGATATAAATTTCGTCTAGTTTAATATTGTTCCATTGAATCAAATGTATTTTATGACTCGCTTATAAAAAAAACACAAGTCTTAAATTTCCCACTTTTCTGCAGGAAATTGGGCAATTGTTTATATGAACTTGTAGATCTCGATGCCTACTATGAACCCTTTAAATATTTACCTGTATTTGCGGGACATTCTGTATATAATTTTTCTTTCTTGTGCAATCATTTTAAAGTTGGCCTTTGATCATCCGAACAGGCCATGCAATCTACTTGTTTTTAATTAGTGTGTAAGTATTTTACGTTTAAACGTCATAATGAGTTATTAAATATATTCCTTAAATCAAGCATGGCCGAGATGTTCCCGACCTGGGCCATCGCTCCATACTATAAGGATCATCCTGGGCTAATAGCCAGGAATTACCCCGACTGAGGGAGTCGCGATCAATGTAGAAGCATGGTAAGTAGCCGCTGCTAGCCGTCGAACATTTTGGCTCTCTTCCAGCTAAGTGTGGGGGGGGGGAGGAAGGGGGGGGAGGAGATTTGGCTCCTAGCGGTTCCTCCGTTTTCTTGAAAATAACTCTTTTTTTCTTCTTCTGTTTTCTTAACGTGTTTTGGGAGAGGTCGGATCGTTTGTTAAATCTTGGAATATATATAACCCTTGTATCGCAGATTTTTAGATTTGCTGGCTATTGCTCTGCGGTTTGTATGGAAAGAGCATGTGTTCTTATTAATAATAGCGCATTAAATTAGAATAGTTCTTGAATTAATTATATTCCAAAAATTTTGCATTGGATTAAAATTTTATTCGTTAGTTAATGAGTTAACATTTATTTGGATTTTTTTTTAGTTAGATAGATAGAAAATAACTTTATTCTGGGGCAAAGTCTCTTGAGAATAATAAAAAAGAATGAAATTAAAAGATTACATCTGACCTAAATAAAAACAATAGAAAAATAGTAAAGAAAATATTTGGTACACATTCTATATGAAAAACAAACAAAGCTATATATAAAGCACTTAAAACTATTTACAGTGCTATAACAGTATAAATATACACTTTTAAGAAAACAATAAAGAAAAAAGAAAAAAATATCAAATTGTCCTTAAAATAAGCTCTACTTTTCTGTTACCTGACAACATGAAATGCTTGATTAATATATATATATATATAGAAAGGGCTCGTTCGATTTGGCTCAAAGTTAGATAAAAGGTAGACGTTGGTGAAAAAATAATGTAGTGTCAATTTCATTGAATTGCGTCCAACACTTTCTCTTATCTGTGCACTACTAGTCCGCCGTCCGCCGTCCGCGCATTTATTTATTTTTATTTATAACTACGTATTTAATGTTACTTTATATGTATAATTTTTTGGAAATAATATACCAAAGAGAAATAATTTGCAGTGGTTTTTTTCAAATTAATTATCGTTATTTATTTATATAAATCTTTCCCTGAAGCCCCTCCTCCAAAATTAAATCTTGATTCGGTAATGTCTATACTATTATTAGAGCATAAGTTCGTATGTAATAATTTTCAACTTTGATTCTATATGTATTAAAGGTGATATTTTGTAGTCTGCAACTGATATAAGTAGTCTGCTACTATGGAAAATAGCAGATGAAAATAAAATATGAAATTATTCTAATAAAGCATAAAGAAATATTGAGTTTTTATGCACTCTTGTAAAACAATAAATAAATCTATACATAAGACCTTTTGAACTAACAGTATTGAAATTCATGTTCAGTATGCATTTTTTTTATTTTTTTTTTTTTTTATTAAGCATAATCAAGTATGGAATATTCAAATACGACCCTCTGTTGTTGAATGTTGAAGGGTAACTGTAATCGGCTATTCCAATTCTGCTTCTCTCAGAGTTTTTATTCTCATACGAAAAATTGTATACCTTGTAATATACAACGGAAACGGTGAGGAAGCTATACTGGCCTTACTTGGCAGACGTTTTTATTTTATTTTATCAATTTTATTTATTGTTTCAAACTTTTAGGCCAGTAGTATTCTATTCTTTTTGTACAATTTTATTATTCTAAAGGGAGTTAGTCCCAGAATAAAGTTTTTTTCTATCTATATATATTCAAATTGATAAAAAATGGCCTGTACCACGGACTTTACACAATTTAAGCACCACTATGGTATTTAATTTATAACAGATGATTCCAAATAATGTACTAAATGTCGATTTATTTTTGATCCACTAAAATATATTTTCATGTTAATCATATTTCGTTATTCTATGTTACACTTAGATATGAATATAACGTGTATCTATAACTTCCTGGTGTTACTGGAATTTCAAAGCCATTGAAGAGTTGATACATTGCCTTTCATTTCAATCTGGTGCTACATCGCCCCATCCCCTCGCTCAGTAATGATGTGAACAATTACTTCGGTAGAGCGAACACGGTGCGGTAAATAGAAGCGCTTTGACAGAGCGTCCGGCGGCAGCTGCGGTTTGCGACGATATCTGCCAGCGACATCGCCGGTATTGATGTTTTGGCCCTTTGAATTGGTCAGTTGGAGTCATGTCCATGATTGTCCGTCAGTCAATAAAATTTGTAGCAATTGTGATCGTAGGGCTATAATCATGAAACACAGGTATATTCATTTTATGTGTAAAGTTCTGCATAAAAATATATTCCAAGTCTAATAACAATGATTTCAATGTCATTTTAGATTGTAATTATTATCTATAACAAAAATGAATTCATAAAAGTGTATTTTGTGTATTTACAATAGTATATAATTTTTAGGAGACCAAAAAAAAAGGTTTTATTTTAACTAATCTATTTATGACTATTTTTTTTTTGGTTCCTCACTACCTAAGGTAGAAAAGCTTTGTATTCGTGTGGAAGGTTAAAACAAATTATCTGATCAAAATCGAAAAATTCCACTTTCGTTTTACGTTTTAGACATTATGTTTGAATTTTGGTTTGGCGTCTGTCTGGCTGTCTGATCGGATATCACCTGCTAAAGTTTATCCGATGGCCCAATATAGATTTTGCTGAATCCCTTCATCAGCTTTCGCCTAAGCATGTGATTTTCTTTTACTATATATACCGTATATTTGTAACTTTAAAGGTCTCGATTTCCCTTTTAAACTTCAAAGTGGTAAGGGACTTTATTCCAAATCTTATTTTAACTAGTTATAATTGAAGAAAAGGTTGTAAGCATCGATAAGTTTTAAATGTCTATAGGGCTTCATTTTCTGTAATATTGTTGGTGAATTTGGTGAGGAAGCTATGCTGACCTTACTTGGCAGAGGTTTTTTTTTTTTCTAATTTTGGGATTGCAACTGATCAAAAGCACCTCTTTACGTAGCTAACAAAACTCTGCCTACTGAACTTCCAACAGTTAACTAACATGTGACTAACATGACCCTTTACCAACAATATTATTCAAATTTAGACAGACATAAACATGGCCATAGCTGGCATGCCTAGACATAGAAATGCCTCTGAATATGAGAAGAATGAATTTAAACAAGCCAGAAAGAGGTGCTGCTGAATAATTTCCTTCCATATCCTTGCCATAGCGTCATATCTTATTTTTGAAGCACATTTGCTGATTGTCAACATTTATAAATTTAAATAATTAATATTAGGTTATTACTGGAAAAATTCCAAACCATACAGTCTTATGTCTCCAAATTCAGGCAGAAAAAAAAAAAAAACCGGCAACGTTTCGCCAATCCAGGCATCATCAGGACAGAAAAAACAGCTAATTCCACTCCATGAAATCCAATCGCATACTGCATACAGTGCGTGCATGTTTTTCTGTATGTTTTACTTGGAGACATAAGGCTGTAAGTATAAAAAAAAAAGTATGGTTTGGATTTTTTTTAATAATCACCTAAAATTTGTGTCTCTGGGTTATTTTGTTACATATTTATAACAATTAAATAATTAATATATTATGTTATAAATAATAATATAACAATAAGTTTATTAATTTATTAAATAAGTTTATCTTAAAAACCGAATGCATTCAACACGATATCACATTAGCCTCTAAATCTCACCTAAAAGAAAAAGACTTACTTGAGGGACTCACATCAGACAAAAACGAATAGAATTATACAGACGATAGCGTCTTTTATCCAGATTACTTGACAGACTTTCAAAATTATCTTTAACTAACAAACTAACCCTTTATAATGTTTTACTTAAACCTATTTGGACTTACAGTATAGAACTGTGGGACTCATCTAAAACTTCCAACATTAAAAAAGTTCAGTCATTTCAGTCAAAAGTGTTGCGAAGGATAGTTGACGCACCGTTTTATGACGCAAATGATACACTACATAAAGACTTAAACGTACCTCCAATAACTTTCACCAAAGACTGACGTACAACATGAATCCCCTGACAGAAATCCTTCATCGTACAATAAACCCGTACAGCTTCACTACGACTATTACGTAGGCGTTGGCCAAGAGACCTGCTGATCTGATTTATATCCCGGACGTGATGCGAAGCTGCCAAAAAATTTTCTCATTGCAAAGAAATTTGCAGATTGCAAATTTAATCTAAAGTTCTACATTTTTTGGTTTGGTTAATAAATAAATCTCACCTGTCGTTTTCGTTTCACATTTATATGTATGTGCAGTTATGGCTTATCAAGACGGAGATGTCTTGATACTATATATTGGGATGATAACATATACTGTACTGACCTAAGAGGTGGACGACCGCGGCGGAGGTGGGCTGCGGCGTGGGGCTGGGCGTGGGGTCCTCGATGAAGAGGAAGCTGGCGTTGAACCCGGTCCCGTCCAGCCTGTCGTTCGACCGGAAGGTCACCCTGAAGAACTTCCGCTCCGATTCCACTTCGAACGGCGTCAGTTGGCCGCACTGCCTCGTGTACTTCCGGTCCAGGCCCATGAAGTTGGAGAACTCCACGTAGTCGCTAGCAGAGCCTGCGTCACACCTGGACAAAGAAGTTATTGCTTAAATAATTCGAGCAAAGAGCTACATCTATTACCGAATAAAGTATACTTGGATCTATGCTATAATATTTTATGGTGAGGAAAGAAAACACAGAAAAAGTATTGTAGTGCTCTAATGTGTGTGGACGTTTCAGCCTCAGTTATAAGCCTCCATCGAGGTATGAAAATATATGAAAAATATTTCAAAATTATAATTAAAAGAAAAAATATAGAAACATACATTAGAATACGTAAGAATATACTCATGAAAATATTGAAGATATTTTTTCTCTCCTATTTCAGCGAACCCTACTTAAATTTCATATTTCATCACTCTGCTTACTTTGATGATTTTTCCCAGTTTTTTTACTTTCTAGTTTTGTCTTTATATAACTATTTTTTTATATCTCATTTATACTTATTTTGTATTTTACAGATCATTTTGTATTCTAGTTTTGTCTATATACAATTCTTTTTTCACAACTCATTCATACTTAGTTTTCATTACAAAGTCATTTTTATATTTTACATTTATACTATTATGCGACAGTGGTGGTCATGCGAGTTTAAGTGTTAGCAAAAATTTTATGTCAAGTGTTTAGATCCCATTCGCAGGAATTCATATTAAGTATTAAATAAATAAATGTAATAATGAATTAAAATAATTAAGCTACCAGACTACTTACACTACAACGCGGGTTCGATTCCTGCATGGATACGATAATTTCTCTACCCTGAGGAGATTCATAGAGAGGTAAGCAACCCCTGTGACTCTAAACATAGCTCCTGGTCCACTAGTGGGTTGAATATAGGGCTAATAATCCCTTATCCCATAAAAAAAACTGGGTTATAGATTGAAGTAAAATATTGCCAACCGATCACTACTGTCGCCTATACCAGCCGGAATCTGCTGAAGAATACTCACGACTTAAAAAGGACGGAAGTCAACAGGCGTAGGAAAAAAAAATTATACTGTTTTATTGTTTCATAATCATTTTATATTGATTACTATCTGTATTGATAGTCACGTTGCAAAAGTCTCTAAGTTCAAAAATTATGATAATTCATAAGATGGAGTAAACTGTGTATTTTTTATTATAAGTAAATAATTTTTTTTAGGCTTCAGATGAATATGTTACATTTTAAATAACGTTTTTGGTTTGGTTTTACTATTATTTGTGAGAGAAAAGTTAACCATTTACTAATTTGCGTTTTTTAATACAGGTTTTTAATATAGTATTTCTAATAAAACTATGGAATATATTGCAATATTTTATTTTGCCTAAAATTTTAATTTCTTGAACGTTAAGCGAGTTTGGTAGGTACAATCGTAGTTGATAAAAGGGATCAACTGTAGGAGGCTGGTAAAGGATACATTTGGATGGGAGGGGCCAGTTTGCTCGGAACAGACTGCGATGAAAGGAGCAGGAACAATAGGAAGGACTGAGACATATCCTCCAGGATCTATTCAGTAAGGACCTCTTTATTGCCAGCCTGGGATTACAGGGATGGTTCAATCAGCCTCGTCACCTCCTCTCTTCAATATCCTCCTTCCTCCGAGGCAGCCCTCTCTTCCTCTGCTTACGTAATATTGCTTTCGGATTGAGATTGCTGTAGATGAAAAAGTATACTTTCACTTAGATATAAAATGAAATATGGAGTAAGAAAAGTATTTTGATCGTGAAAATATTCGAACAAGAAGAATCAAGGAAAATATGAGTTATATATATTTAAAGATTTGAGGAAGTAAGGTGAAATCTAAATTTTTCGATGCTTCGATTTTTTCGCCATAAATGTGATAAAATCTTAATAGTAAAAATTGAAGGGTGCTCATGAATGAATAATAAAATCTTAGAAAATTTTGCTTAATAAAGCAATAATTAACATAATTATTGCTTTATTAGTTAATAGTTGACCGTTTTATTATTAAGGAAAGAGATGTTCCGAGGTGACGGTCATAAATAGACTAAATAGTAGTGAAACTATTTTATTAAAAGCCAACGTTTCGAACCAAATTTGCATGTCTTATTCAGGGCTAGAACGGAAAAGGTACAAAATGATATAGAGAATTGTGGAAGGTACATAATGTTTAGACAAAGAATTATAAACAATGTGAATTTAATAACTTATTACAATTATAAACAGTAAGTACATTAAATATAAACAGAGTAATGTCAGTAACAAGATCCTAAACTGAAGTATATAGATGGGTGATTAATTGTTTAATTAATCAATTTATTAATTCTATTTTAGATGTATATGTATATATTTATAATTTATTAGTCCATATAGTATTTTCCCTTGTATCTATCCATATCTTTAAATTTTAGATACTGTAATATTCCAGGTTTTGTTTTACCCCCTCACCATTTTCCAACCAGGTCAGCAAATGTCCCCAAAGGTTTTCCAGTTCTAAGAGAAACTTCTTGCTGAACACACCTGTAAGGCTCTATTTTTATTCTTCTAATTTTCTTTTTTTATTTTCTTTTTTCTTTTCCTTCTCCACATCCCTTTATGTCCATTATTTCATATCATATCCTTTTACCCTTTCTTCCAATCTTTCCTGTAGATCTGTAGGAGTATACTCACAATTGCATGTATTATATTATTTTCCTACGCCTTTTGACTTCCATCTTTTTATGCCATGAGTCTTCTTCAGCAGCTTGGAGCTGGTATAGGCGACAGTAGTGATCGTTTTGTCCTCTCTTATTATTATACTGGAACGTAATTTCATTATTAGGAACACAGGGCTTGATAAAATACTTCCATGCTTAGTTCTAGGCCTTAGCTTAGCAGTCTAGTCGACTTTTCCTATTTCATTAATTGACCTTAGTGTACATATATTAAATGTATTTATGTGAATTAGTTTTTTTTATTTTACTGTTATTTTTGTACTTCGGAACATTGGGAGAGGCGAAACGATATTATCGCCTCCTCTCTATTTTTATAGGGAAAGGTCACTGTCCTCGCATCCCCTCCCCCCCTGCAGTCTTCGCCTATGCCTATGCTTATATATAGGGTAGGGACAGAGAACAACTGGGATGCTATTTGAGTTTTAAATTTGAGGTGACAGGTAGGCCTAGCTGTTCCCTTTAAAAGATTAAACCGAACAAGGCTCGGCTGTTCTCGCGGGGATGAAAACAAGGGACACCGTACATGTTGCCCATGCTTTTGGGGCCTCCCTGAATCCTCCCCGATGAAAACACATCTACATTTGCATCAGAAAGTACCTCCATTGCTCAACGCGTTGAGTATGTTCACGTTCCGTGTTGGTTATATCATTGTCGTAACCATCAAATATAGGCTGAAATGGTATTTGATTGATACGTATGATAGTGCATATTTTTTCGATGATCCTAATTTTTTTCAAGTAAAAATATGTTAAAGCTGCATTTGCACATTTTCATTAAAGCTCATTTCTTAAAATAACAAAAACTTGTGTAACTAAAATAATACAATATACTATAAGCTCAGTCATGAATCAGTTATTTTAAAAATTAAAATACATGGCATTTAAAATTAGTTTTAGTCTTAATATAAATTTGTTCATATACATTATTTAAAATAATAATGTACTTGCATGATATGCCCCAAAATTGGGTTTCACAGTTATTAATAAAAAGTAATTTACGTTATTGATGTTAAAAATGTCTGGTTCATGATACAGCTTATAATATATTAATTGTATTATTTTAATTATTATAAATTATTTATTATGTTTCATTCAATCAAATGGACTTGTAAAATATTTGGTCTTAGTACCGAAAGAATTCCTAAAAGGTTGATATTTGCTGTAACGAATGGTATACGTCCGAAAGGTAGACCGAAGCGAAGGTGGTAAGATTGTGTTAAAGCCGATCTGAAGGGACTGGGTTTGGACGGCGAATGGTGGAGGGAGGTGTGTAATAAGCGATTGGTGGTGTCGGTATCGAACCTTCGGGTTCGCTAAGCCTTTTATTATTATGTTTCATTAGCCGTGGATCGACCGCAGGCTGGGGTGACCCTTCAAGGGCACACACAGCCTCTATAAAGAGGGTTACTTAAATAATATTTCATTAAGAGGGACAACCTGGCAGTTGAGCGTCAACTCAGTCAAATCACCTCCTTGCACAACTGTTGACCAAGAAACAGTACATTCCATAGGTAGTACTGAACCCCAAATACCCTTCATGGGTTGCAGTGATACAGGATTATTTTAGTTGCTGAAGAGGAGAAAGAAGATTCCCCGAAACTTCCATTAATGAATAGTGATCAAAGACTAGTCCTGATTACTTATTAAATTGACCTAAAGGCAAATAATTGTAAAAAGATATTATAGAATAGATGCCAAAATTGGCAATGGATTATCTATGTTATTATAAAAGTTCACTAATTCACTTACAGTTAGTACACTCATTAATTTATAGAGTCTTCCCATCAATTCATAAAAAAAAAAATATATATATATAAAAAAATCTCACACAATCTCACACATGTGCCAGCATACTTTGTCTCTCACATAACATTAATATTATTCAATAAATTTTAAACAAAAAATCATTTTCATAATGCCCTCAGATTATTGTTATATATTGGCGAATAATTTGAAATTTTATGTGTGATTCAAATGAATTTGGGAGTGGGTTAGCTGATTGGTAGGGAACTGACTTCAAATGTTCAAGTTCTCAAGTTCGAATCCGGCTGATAAAAGATAAATTATTTACTTTGTTTCGTTGGCAGTGGATCGACCTGAGATCGGGAAGCACTCCTACCTCTATATAGTCAGTAAGCTTAATTAAATAATTAATTATCGAGAATGAGCGTGATCTCGCTCAAATCACTTCTTTGCACAACAGTTGACCAAGAAACAGTGCTTTTCCTAACAGATTTTTTTTTTTCCATTTTGAAGAGGATATATTAAACATGGGTGTAATTTTACGTTATCCCTCTTTTTGTGGGATCGAAGGGGAGAAACTGGGTGAAAATTTAGAGACTTTTTTTTAAATTTTTTGATTACTATAAAATTTTAGCCTTTTTCGAAATGTGAAATACGAATTTCAACTCTATTTTCACTTAAACAAATATTTGAACCCACTTTCCAGCTTTGGTGAGTACAATTGCTTCAACATTTCACTCATACTATAGCTATATGCCAAATATATATTATAATCAAATAAATGGGCTATAATAAAGATAAAACATACAATATAAAACGAAAATAACAGCAAAGAAATAACAAAAAAAAAATAATTGGAAAAATTTCTTAATATGTATTTCCGTTCTAGTTTTGAAGCCTTGCAAATGTTTATATTGATTATTTTAAAAACAGAAACAAAAATTTAGAATACGATTCGCTAATCCCTGTGAAATTTCGAATCCAAATGGAATCTCTTCCAAGGTATTTATAGTACGACAAGAGAATATATTTTGTAAAAAACCTATTTCGAGCTTCAGTGTAATAATATATGTGGGGATAACATTGATAATAATATGTTCATAATAAATATACACAAATATTGTATGTTAATCACAAACATGTTGAAAGTCAACAAGCTAACAAAGAAATATAACACAATAAAGGTATTGGTGAAAGCTCTCATATGAAATAAATATGTTGTGTAAAGGCTTTACTTTGAAAACCATCAGTTTCAATTTCGTGGAAACCTGTGAGGTGGTTGATAGATAATGCAGTACGAGGTAGCTTTGTATGTACTGTGAACTTTGAAATGTATTTTTATTGTTGCAGGGTAAAAGTTTAGAACTAGAAGGAAAATTGTATTCCTTCTATATTTGACTGTTAAATCAAGTTTTTTATTCGAACAAAAAAATTAAAAAAGCAAAATTAGATTAAGGCTGTTAAAGTAACTCGAATAAAAAAGAGAAAACTCTTCCATATTTATAACTCGACGCTTTCCATTGTTTTTCTTCCTCTGAACCATCCCCCCTTCGACCTTATTAATTTTTCTAAAGTTACTTGCAGGCTAAATTAATGTGTTTACTAGTACAAATATTTTTTTATTATTTATGAAAGTATTTTTTCCAATAACTTTATGAGAATGAAAGTTCATTTAATCGTTAGAATAATTTAAAAGCAATGTTCAAGTAAACATTAAATCTGATTACTTTCCAATCTGTATATATTTATCTATAAGGGTAAGAAATCAAATGATCAATAATAAGAATGAAACAAAATTCCCAGGAATTTCAGTCAATATTTTTATTACGTTAGCCGACGTTTCGACCCAAACATGTAGGTCATCTTTAGGGCGCTCGTTTGGAAGCCGAGACAACTCCTTTAAAATCCACAATACTTTAAGGAAGTGGCGTTCTTGTCTCCTTTTTCAAATGATAGCCCTGAGGATAACCATCATTTTTATAATGTTGCCCAAATGCGAGACCAAGACGAGTCTTAATCTTGGTCTTGGTCTTGCGCAAGAGTCTTGCAATTACCTATTAACTTATTACTATAGAGATATTCTGGATTTTTTAAGATAGGAGAAACCTAACTAAGCCCGAATGAAAAGTTTAAAGAGTTAAATGCAAACGTATATTGGTTACACCAATTCTTTACATATAGTAACTAAAATTGGCAAGTATTAGTACCTATTTCACATAATTGTTATTCGCGAAATCGATTTTTTCTACTAGTCTTGGTATTTCAACAGTTAGGTGGTCTTGCAACAGTTAGTTGGTGTTCTTGGTCTTAGTCCTGCAATGTGCAAGACCAAGACCGATTTTGGGCAACAAGACATGTCTGGGTCGAAACGTCGGTTAATCTAATAAAAATATAGACTGAAATTCCTTTTGTTTCATCTTTATAATTGATCAGTTGACTACTTATTCATCTCTAATAGATGTATACAAATTGGAAAGAAATGAGCCTTTGGTTTCATCCAGTAAAAAGTCGAAAAATGGTCCTCCTAAGTTCTATAAATTGAGATCATCTTCCAAGCTTTCTAAACACCGTGAAAAAGTTTGTCGTTCCTTTATAAATAACTGTTAACAATATAATGGCTGTAAAATGTTGAAGGTACTGATTATATGGAGTGGGAGTTAGGTTATTACAATAATGGTATGGAACTACTAAATTTTAGGTTTTATTAAAAAAAATAATTGATACTGTATTGTTTAGTCGATTCCAAACGTTCCAAACGTCATCCATTACTGGGATGACACTTACTGCCGTTACTTAGATTTCGTGTAATTTTGAGTACATTTAAAGTAATGTTTACTATGAGTTTGTGAAATATATATATATATATATATATATATATATATAATATATATATATATATATATATATATATATATATATATATATGATATTTGTGATTGTGTTTATTTCCGTTGAAGTTCAACCAGTTCGTCTTGGTTTCGATTTCCTCTTTAAATATCGAAGCTGTATGAACTTCGCCCATATTTTTATATTTTCTAGCTAAATGTATGTTTAATATTGTGATGCAATATTAGGTTCATTATTGGCAGCCAATACGCATTTTTCATCAGCATAGGTAGTGAGGACGGTTGAAAGATAGGTTGGGATATCAGCTGTATATACTGTGTAAAGGATGGGACCTAAGATGCACCCTTGAAGGACCCTACTGGATTCAGTTCTATATCCTCATTATTGAATGGCATGTATTCCGTTTTCACTGCATTAATAACTATTCCCCACTGCTGATATTCCTCATTTAATTTTCTTAACATATAACCAGCATCTACTGCGTCCTGTGCAATGATGATCTGGTCATCTGCGAAGGATAGGTTACAAAGGAACACTTTTCTTTCAAATGAATCCCCATGGGTTCGTATTTTATTCTCCATGCTTTCAAACAGATGTCAAGATAAATCTTGAACAGAGGAGGAGAGGCACAACACCCCTAGAGCTTGTTGGGAAAGGCTGAGAAAGGTATGGTCCAATTTTGATCTGGCAGGTGTTTCCTTTGTACATTTCTTTTATTATTACATGTATCAGACCTATATTAATGTTTGCATTTTGGTGAGCTTGCCATAAAAGTCTTCGAAGGACACTGACACACGCCTTCTCCAGGTCTATAAATATATCTTTTTTTAATTTTATTTATTTAATGAAATTTACAACTGTATAAACAATATAACTAGTAAAAATACGTACATTGCAAATAATGACATGAACATACTTGAAGAGATACTGTAAAGAGGTAGCACTCCCTATTTAATACTACCTGAGAAAATCACGTGACCATCTTCTTTTCAGAAGCCTAGGGGGATTATCAGG